CACAGTTGTCTTCTCTTTAGTGTTTTCGGTTTAATTCAGTTTCAATTTTTATGATGAACAATGGTTTCCCGTATTTCGATACATTGCATGTAATGCTCTGATTTGCTTAAATTCAGCAGTAAACCCTGTTATATATTTGTCACGCAAATTAGTCTTCATTGTCACCTCTTTTGTTTACTCTACAGATTGACACGTTTAGTTGTACCCTATTTTGGATGATATTAGTTTAAGATCTTAAATAACAATGAAAACTTCATTATGTATTTATTTTCAAATTTGTTTGAAGATTACAATAGCAAATATCTTAAATTTTGATCACATGGCAGTCATTAGAACTAGAAATAAACTAAGTCTACAAATAGAACGAACAAAATCCCCGCCAATGGCTGATTTAAATATAGCGAATTAAAATTACGGACTGATTTAATGCTCCAAAGTTAAGGCATAATAGGATTTGGATGTTATAGAAAAAAATTAGATTGTCCGTTGGAAATTGGAGTCACAAATCAAGCTCTATAACTGTAATTTTTTGTGGCGACTTAGACCAATAATTAAATTTGATCAATAACTCTCAAACAGGGACTAAGAAGAACCTTTCTGGTATAAGAGCCAACACTAGTATCGCAAATCACCTCAGTCGCATCTTCGTTCATCATCACTAAACTGTCCTTAGCGCACGTGACCACGACCTTGTAGTCACCCGACTCAGGAATTTCCACCGTGCTCAAGACAGTGTTAGGTGGTGCAGTCAGGGGTCTGCAGTGTAGCTTTACTTTCAGCAGGACTGGAGCGGTGATAAATCTAAGACCAGATTCAAAGTTAACCTTGAAAGTGTAGAAACCACTGTGAGCAAATATCATAGTCTCCAGCCGATGTGAGATGAAGAAAGGAGGTGTTTCAGTGACATGGTTCAGATCAATTACCATGTTCTTACCAGATTCTTTGTGACAAAGGAATGCACTTGTTGGTTTTGTCTCCCCGAAAACGGTCACTGAGAATGTCATCGGCGACATCTCAAACACTGGCCTTAATTTAGTAATTGTTGCATTTACTAATTTCACTGTTATCATGTCGGAAGTTTGCTGCTTATCATCAATGACTATCACAGCACGGTGCTGTGTTACATCTGATTCTTTTACACGATGGATGACAAGACTTGTAGACATGACACCGTTTTCTGCCACACTATAGTAAAGAGTCAGGTAGCCATCTGATGGAACGTTCGTCCAGTTTCCTTCAATCCTGTGTTGCCAGATAACCTCGATAGTCGACTTGTTTGTAGCAGTCAGGAATGTGGTTAAAATGGCTTGTTTTCCTTCCACAGCCCAAACTGGAGATGTAGTGAACGTTTCACCAACTATTGCTACTGATTTAGAGAGGAATACTTCTGTTAAATTGTCAATCTGTACTGAGTACGTGAAGACAGAATCTTTAACACTGAGGTCTTCTTTCCTGGCTGCCTTTATCAGTGACTCAGGGCTGGATATCTTGTAAACCTCAATGACGACCACTCCTTCTATTCTATCCTCTATCTTGGTCGACAAACTGATAGCCTTCACTTGAGGTGTGTCCAAGGTGTACGATAGGGGAACCGAAGGTGAATATGTCACGAAAGTCACAATCGCTCCCATTTCAGGGGTCACAATCACAGACTCAGTGCCACTGCTTATCCTTATCTCGTTCAGATAGCTGACAGGTGTTTCAATACCATGTCCTGTATTGTAGTGAGCTTGACAGTTGAGTGTCCCTACAGCTATTGTGGAGTGAGTGAGCGTAATACCCCACGTGACTTCTGTTGTAGAGTAGACTTTTTCTGCCAGACTGAACAGAACAACTTCCAGTTGTTTTGTAAACCCAACTCCTTTACTACTGACTACCCTACCATCCAGCATCCATTCCAAGTTGGTCAGCTGAGAGTGGGTCAAGTTGTAAGGAACAGAGCAAGTCACCACAGATTCTGCTCCTGCAAGCCCCAAGACTCTTGTCGGTTGTTGTGTTCCACTAACTTGCACTTCTATTACATCCACCTGTTTGCTCTTTAGATGACGACCGCTTTTCCGTTCAGTATAGAAGCATCTCCAGGCCCCGCTTGTTTTTCCAGCCACCTTGATTCTGATCTCAGAGGTCTTTGGATTATCCGTCACATTCTTACAGATCTCAGCTTGGCATGGCTGATCCTGGTAGTTCCACGAGAAGTGTCCCTCAGCTATTGATTTAAACGTATGATTGCATGACAAGGTGATGGTAGAACCTGTGAAGGCTCTGACTTCATTTCCAGAACTCAGAGAAAGATCATTCACTTCAATTTGTGAGATGAAGTTGTACTCTGTCTTCCCTTTTACATTGCAAGTGTAGGAGACATCTTCAAAGGGGGACTGTACAATGAGATTTATGGATGTTACATTGTCTGGAACCGTGTATTTCTTTGTGTCCTCTAAGATATGAGTCTGGTTGGTCCAGGATACCATCAGGGTATCAGTTGGGGATATAACATGGCACTTAATCTCTGCTGGCTCCCCTGTTCTCACAAAATCATTTGTAGTTCTTACTGTAAATGTTTTCAGGAGAACTGGAGTGTCATCAGGTTTTTTATTTTCACCCACCTTGATTCTGCATGTGAACATCTGATCTCCTAGCAAAGTTATATCAGCAGATACAGTCAAGGTAGACTCCTTGGTCCCTTCAGCTAATTCTCCATCTGTTACAGAGATGTTATCATCGTTCGTTTTCTCGTAGAAGATGTGACCTCTGCTGTTCAGCCAAAGAATGTCTATTTTGTTGGCAGTGACCCCGTCTATTGAGCAGGTCAGAGTGGACACTGTTCCTGATAGCACATCATAGCTTTCCGTTTTTATCTGGTATACTCCCAAGTTGACCTTTTCAAAATATACAGATGATGCTGGGTAGCGAATGGAAGTGACAAAACAAGTGTATATTGTGTCTGACTTTGGGTTTTCTATCTTTAACGTTGAGATTTGTTGACCATATTTTACCGAGCTGGTTTCTACCTTTTGATCAGTAACAGTTATGTTTCCTTCCCTCCACAGAACAGTCAACCCCTCCGATTGTACGTGTGAGAATAGACATGAGATGTTGGTTGGTGATCCCACTCTCACTTCTGCTTCAGCCACTTCAACTTCGTAAACGAATGTATTCACTCGTTTGACTCTCTTTGCCTCTTTAGGATAGTTTGGTGATGTTACCTCACAAATGAAAGTCTCGCAGATCGTGGGAGACGTTATTTGTAAAGTGGCAGTCTGAGAATCTGCACCAAAAGTACCCTCATCAGGGACTAGTCCATCCTGCTTCTTGACAAGTTTATCTCCTGATTTCCAGACAATATTTAATTGTCTTCTTATCGGGGTAACGTTGCAAGAGAGGGTTGTCTTTGTTCTCTTACCAACTTCTGAATCTTGAACTGTTATGACAGGGCAGAGATGGTTATTGCAGGTGCTGCTCCCTGTCGATGATCCTGAACAGTAACTTCCCCCGTTATCAGGTGTTGGATTATTGCATTCTCTTGTCCGGTATTGAGTCCCTCCTCCACAGTCAGCTGTACAAGAAGAATAGGAGGAGAAACCGCTCCAACCCCCATAAATGGGGTAGTCCGCCTTGCATTTGTCGATCAGCCAGACTAGGACCAGTAGTAATGACGTGGTAGTTGTTATTCCAGACCATGACATACTCGTGATTAATTGATTTTTGCTAGCAAATAAGATGGCGAATTTAAAAAATTGAAGCAACTTCAGTGTGAATAGATGGATATTCTTATAGTCGCAATAATACGTCACTGTAACGAAAGAACAATTTTTGAAGCGTAAAATGTCCAATGTTTTCTGATGAGGCTCGAGTAATGAACACATGTCACTGAAGGATAAAAGTCAGGTGATGCCTGATTCTCGATTTATTAGGTCTCAGATAGTTAGTGTCGAAGATGCACAACACAAACTGACCGAACAAATCATTAGTTACTATATAAGTTTAGGCGTTCACTAATTCACTCGCCAGCGCACCGCCACGAGACTTGGGTATTTACAATTACTGTTTACCGAAAGAAACGGTGTCGGTGAAACCCTGCGAACCTACAACCCTAACCATATAAGCCCTGAGCTAACTATAACGATAACCACAAGCACAACCCTAACCCAAACCTGAGCCCTGAACAATCGAATCCGTGTTTTACCAGCCTGTTACGTGACCAATACAGTTTTTTGCTCATAACTCCTCACTAAGTAAGCGGTTTGACCCTATGTCATATGTCATGGGGGTGTTTCGGAATAGAAAAATACATTTAATTAAATGATGCTCATGCTACTCTCAATAAGACCCACTTTGTGAAAAAAAATTAAAAATCCTTGGTCATTGGTGAGTGATTTATAATGAGACCGATAAGTTTTTGACGCTTTTAATTATTTACTTAAAACACTAAAACAGCATTATAAATATAATTATATTTACTTTTAGATTTCGCAATTGCATTGGGTCCAGGATCACCGATCATGCAGTTATGCAAATCCTTTTATTATTATTTTAAAACCTAAAAACCCAACATTTGGAATGGACCGTCGCCGGTGTCTGAGTGTTTCCTTTTCCCAAAAAAAAGAGAAATGATATCAATCTAAATTACCGTTAAATGCAAATTAGTGATACCGAGCACTAAATAGGTTGCTCGATTTTCCTTGCCTCACGTTGTTGGCCCGCCGCGCGGCTGTAGCTGTATCGTGGCTTTTGCCCCGATACTATAAGCATAAAATGACAATGGAGGTCACGACGTGATACAAGCTTTTCCCATATTCATTGGGCTGCAATCGCGAAGTGTTTGGAGAAATGTTGTGCACGGACATGTTCAGTCGGAGTCCCACAACGTTTTAATATGCAACGTTATTTTCCAACAGGTTGCTGATCGATTCAAATGAATTTGTTTTAAATAATAGTATAATTGAAGGTGAAAAGAGATTGCATTTGCATCGATACGAGGAGATCAGAATAGAAGTCAAAATCATGATTATAGAAAATTGAATTTACGATAAAATTTCAACTCATATAATATTATTTACATTGAATGAAAAACTTAAAATTAAATAATATAGCATTACAAAAACTGAATTTGGTTTGAGGGATATCGATAACACATCAAATAACAATCGTGCATTTCAAAAATTTTATAAACAGATATGATGATATTTGCTAAACCTAACCTCTATAGAAGTTTCTAGAAATAAATTTTAAAGAATAAATTCTCTACAATCGCTGGCAGATGCCATCCCGTACAACAGTGGCAAACCCAGTCCCTTGAATAACCGTGCATTAAGTATCCAATATCCACTAACCATGTCCTTGCTTGCTAAACAGAAAACCCTTAAAAATTGTCATACAAAATGCACGGCATAATCAAGGGAAGTTCGATCACATTCTTCTGTTCTCAATAATCAATAAGTTTTTAAAATAATTTTTAATTACCGATTTTAGGAGGACTCTTAAAAGAGTCCTCCAAAAATTGGTAATTGAAAAATCTTTAGTTCTTTTCTTTCAGCATAATATGACAGTTACAGCAAGACAAGCGAAACATTTACCCTGACAGAATTTCAGAATTTGATCTGATTTTCTTTTGAAGGCGACGGTAACATCACGATATCCATGACTTACAAATTCTGTTAAAACATTGCAAAACAGATACAGCATAAAACAAACAATGATGAATTATACGTCCATATACTTTTAGGGTGAACGAAGGATCGGCCGTCTAGAACTAAATAAAATACTCTTGCTCAGGGTTCTCCTGATCCGCCCTTAGCCGGCTCTCGTCCACTTTGTAAGTCCCTTTGTTATTATAATATTTTTTACAAACAATCCCAATTAAGAGAACTAATAAAATAAGGATAACGATAGTCACTAATATGACGATTAGGGTCATCTTATCTTTTCCGGAATCGTCATCTTTTTCTTTATCCTCGACAGCTCCAGTGATAGGATTTGTGTCGAAAGGTGGAGAGTTTGTCCTGGAGAGAAAAGTCAAGTTAATATATTAACTGCTTCATATTTTTAGTTTTGTACGCCCTAACCTTGTTTGATTCCTAAATTCTTATTCGGATGAAAACGGAACGGAATTTCGACGGGGATTAGAGCTGATAAAGTTGAGACCGACAAAGCATTTTCATTCCATCATGATAGTGCCACTATGTGGGATTAAATCAGTGAAAGAAGAAACTAATTAGTAGACTAATTGGACTAATTAGTAGACTAATTGGACTAATTGAGCCTAACGTTACTAACTAATTAATTGGTGTGGAGATATTAATTTATTAATTTACTTACGGTTGTTGAGGTGGCTGTGTAGTAGGAACATTATATTTCTCACCACAAGTCTCCACAAAATCAACGTCTTGCACTGATACTTGGTCTTCAATTTCTGAGATAGAGTTCCAAGTCACTTTTAAAATGGTCACCCCACACCTCCATAATAAATTCTCCATCGTCTATACAATAATTAAATTAAATCTTGATTCTCAAAAACGTCCCTGCGTCCCTTACTTGTATTTTCCGCGAGATCAGCAAGGATAAGAGGTGAGAGACCGTCCACGAACAAGTCAGTCATACACCCAGTAAAACCGTACGCCTCTCCCCAGGTAGGCTGGAGGTGTCCAACTTGTATAGATCTTAGAGCTGTGAAGGTGAACTCTAACTTGCTTCCGGAGGGATACGAACCTGAGAGGAGAACTTTAGTAAATTCGTGGATAATTTAATTGCATTGGCTAGTTATACAGTTCAGTCGTATAGTCATACTACTCAGTTCTATCTCGAATATTGCATCGCTCACATTGACGTCAGTAACGTACGCGGGGTTTAGCATTTCTGATCGTTGGTGATGGTCGAGGGTGGGAGATTAAGACTTAAGGCGTTACTGACGTCAAAACAGGAATTAAAGGGTAACAACCCAAACTCCCTTCATTCTGTTGAAATGGAAATTGCTTATTTTACATCAGATCCACTTCAGCTGTATAGAGTAACGTCTACGCTACCTTGGTTTGCGCGATCCCCGAGAATCTATATAAAATAGTGCCTGATTTCAGCTGATTTTGCTGTCTCCAAGTTTTAAAGCAAGATAATTCAAGATAATTCAAGAAGCTTATTCAAGTGTTAAAACATTTTATAAAAGCACGATAGGATATAATCCTAGGTACAACCCAAACTGGACACAACCCATGCGCGTATAGTAATGGTCGATGCAGTGGCAAGTAGTGCACATCACTGAGCTTATTGAATTGTATCCGGACTAGAGAGATATCTTTTGAGCTTATTTCCGAACACCATTTCACAACATATTAATATAATTACTCTACACCTTTAACAGAAGTCCTGACTATTGAAAAGCCGCAGAATCTTTGGGAAGTGTACTTTCTGTGGAGATATAAACCGTGCCTTTTAATAATACCCATCGCTTGATAGAATAATTATAAATTGTAAACCCATGTCGAGCCTCGAAGTTCATATTTCTTTCTCAGAATGCGGTAAGAACAAAGATTTAAGATACTACTTGCAGATACATCGATCAGTATAATGCTGAGTTGATATAAATAGTGTTCGTTCAAACTTCAACAATCGACTGATAGAACAAAAAATGTGTTTCGTCAAAAGTAATATAAGATTTTAGTTAAATTTAGACAGATTTGTTTGGACAGATTTTGAGATTTGGTCGAAATACAATATAAATTTTAAAAATTAAAAGCGCGCGGCTTAATGCGCGCTCTTGGTATCAATCAAAAGATCGTCGCGTCTTACGTCAGGTGAAAATTGAAAGGTGCCATTTTTCGTTGCTAGGTTTGATGTATCTGTCAAAAAGGTTGCTCGATAAATAGTCCTTCATGCCATCATGAGAGAGAAATTGTTTTACACAGCTAAGTGTTATGACAAAAATAGCCGATTTCTCTGCTGCATTTTATAATGTAACATTTCCAGGACAATTGTTTACAAAACTGAGTTATAAATAAAACTTGCTATATCCGCAGCTTTGGTCAATTAGAGACTGTAATGATGCAATTCCTAACATACCAACAGTCGAATGGCATTTGGCATGAAACTTCTAATTAACTCAAATTTACTTAGCACAAATCACATTTTTATCTCGCCCGGAAAACCTAAAACTAACGCAACCAATTTTCGCTCAATTTTTAAAATTCCAAAAAGTAGATACTCACATTGAATGGAGCGATTATCGATGGTCATGGAGAGAGAGTCTGGGTTTCTTTTGAGCACCACTTTATGCTGCATGTTATCGTTCAACAACATGTCATCATGACAGAAACCTATGATACGCTGTCCTATACCTGGAGGATAAGGAAATTGTTGAAACAAGTTGAACTCTGTGAAAATACATTTAGAGAGAATTCCAGAGTAAATACTCAGAACTTTGGCAGAACATTACTCAGAAAATACCGAGACAAGCCCTCACTTCTGAATGCAGTGCAGAAAACTCTAGATTTATAACTGACAATAAGTGGTCTGCAGATTGCCGGATTGCGTGATGATGGTGCAAATTTCTACTTATTAACGTCTTGATAGGCTCAATATAAATAGGTAGTTTATATGTTTTCGGGGAATGGTTTTAGTATTACCGAGAAACACCGATTAATATAAAATAGGGTTCAACCAATACTTTTTACTTCCGTACCAACAAATTACAAATATCAACAGTAAATTATTGTAACTGTTGATTATAGTAACTGTTAATTTTAACAGTTAATTGTAACTGGTCGTTGCGACAAAAATTTCGAGATTTGTCATAAAATGAACATTTAATTATGCTGACCATCAATTAACAATAATACACATTAATTAAGTTGAACTTGCTGATTAATTAATTACACAGTTAATTTGTCAGTTAATAAAATAAAAATATTTCATGCACCAATCAGCCCTCCTTTACAAACATCAGGTGGGTGATTACGGCACTTTAATGCTAAAAATCAATAAGCTCCAAATTACACCAACAATTAAAAGTAAGTTTGCTCTGCAAGAGATTATTCTACATTATATTATGCAAATGAATAAATTAAATTAAATCTCTATAATTTATCATTAGACCCCCGTGGCCCTTACGTATTTTCATGCTTTCCTGAGAAAATTATTCCACATATTATATAAATACAATTGAGCTAAAATATTGTTGACCATAAGTTGTTGAAAACATTCAGTTTACATGATGGGCTGATACAACATTACCTCAATCAATACACTGCAGTGTGAAATTGACATGCGCTACTTTGATGTTACAAATACAATTACTACATTTTACTGGATTGATGTATTTACTCGATAACAGTCATGTTATTATATGATTAATCCTTTACATATCGTTGGTTTTTGGTTACACAGTAAATTTACTAGAATAAATTATACAGACTATAAAATATAATTATTATAAATATCTGACCCTGTAAAATTAAATGATGGTGAAATGGCAAACAAGATTGGATCACGTGTTCTCAGTACATACTATGTGAAGATTGTATTCGATATCAATAAATTATTGTCCACTGATAAGCTAGTAATTAACCAGGGATTCTATCTCAATAACAAACTGTACCACGATATTCTTCGTCAGACTTGCGCAATACTGAAGGAACTTGTTTATTATTGTCATTTATTATTCATTTTTCTGTCGAACATGGTAGTTTTTGTCCACTGGTGTACTCTGTCACGGGTGGTAGCGGGCCAGAAGCAAGAACATTTTTTAGATTGTTGTGTGAGAAAATATCCCATAAAACTTAACAGAACTGTTCAGACGTTGTCAATTTTTTAAGATGTAAATTATCTTTTTTAATCAGGAAGCTGGTTCTCCTGTGTATAAGAGGAACCAGATCTTCTGTCAATTCAGTTGACAAAAGTTGTGAGAGCGACTTTGAGTTCGCATGCTTTGTATCAAAGCTTAGTTAATTAGGAGTCCCAGGGACTCAATAAATTGATGATAAAAATCTTATCGATATAATATGTTGTTGTAAATATTAATGTTGTGTATTATTCATTTTTCTGGTGATCGAGCTGGTCTTTTCTGGTTTTCAAAATTGTATCAATAATTGCGAATACTTTTAATGCAGCTCAATGAGCGCCTACCTTTTAAAAGTGATCTGGGTCACGTGCTGAAAAATGTGGCGAGTCGTGTTGTTTTGTGACACTTTATCAAAAATGTATGCATTAAGTGACTACCCACACGCAACCTCTTAATAACTCACGTAATTCGTCTCCAAATTGCACCAAAATTTCAGAGATTATAGATATGGGTCAAACTTAGATTTCCTGAAAGTTTCGTAAGCCACGCCCAATTACAGTGGGCGTGGCGTGACACTCCCTCTTTTTCACTATTGTCTTCATAAAATGAGAACGCTTTAAGCTAAGAACTCAAACTTTTTTGCACACATTTGGCTTGATAATTGAAAACTTTTCCCAAAGTTTCAAGTTCATTGGTTAAAATATGGCTAAGTTATGACCATTTCAAAACTCATCGGATACGTGATCCGAGCACTCAGTCAGTGATCTCGTCACTTGGTTAATGGCCTGTTTGGCTCACATGCACCGCTTGATTGGTTGCAGCCTGCTTATGGGCCGGCCTATACAGCTGACAGCACCTAAAACGCTATCACACGAATTTATGGTGGTGTCACCATTTCAGGGCTTGTTAGCCCTGCTAGTCACAGGTTCCTTACAATCAATAAAAAGGAATGAACCATCCATTGAATCATCGAAAATGGTTCACTATCCTCCCTTTACTGCAGAACAACGATTGTTCGTCTACCTGAAGAAAGAAAATGGGGTGTTCTACCCTCAGATTAAACGACAATTTCAGATGAAATTCAACCGACCACCCCCTTGCCGGAAAAGCTGCTTTGACATTCATCACAAGATCAAGTTTACGTTTTCTGCACACGATCGGCGAAGAGTCGGCAGAAGACGAACTTCGAGGACTGTAGAAAACATCACGATGGTTGTTGGTGACGTGATGGACACACCTAAGATTGGCACCCGGAAACGAGCTCCTGCCTTAGACATCAGCAGAACAACCCTTCAGCGAATCCTAAAGCAAGACCTTTCTAACCGGGCCTACCGAATCACAAAGAAACACAAAATCATCGGTATCCAATCAAAGCCTAATGAACCTCATTAATACACGCTAACGCCTTACTCTTGATCAGATTGGGTGACGAGATCACTAATTGAGTGCAAATATCACTGACTGAGTGCTCGGATCACATATCCGATGGATTTTAAAAGTTTAAAATGGTCATAACTCAGCCATATTTTAACCAATGAACTTGAAACTTTTGGAAAAGTTTTTAATTATCAAGCCAAATGTGTGCAAAAAATTTTGAGTTCTTAGCTTAAAGCGTTCTCATTTTATGAAGACAATAGTGAAAAAGAGGGAGTGTCACGCCACGCCCACTGTAATTGGGCGTGGCTTACGAAACTTTCAGGAAATCTAAGTTTGACCCATATCTATAATCTCTGAAATTTTGGTGCAATTTGGAGACGAATTACGTGAGTTATAAAGAGGTTGCGTGTGGGTAGTCACTTATGGGCCACCCTGTATATATAGGCTTAAAATTAAACATATTACACCATTCTGAATGTTCCGAACATTTTCTAGATCGATTACGGAATACAATGCATAATACAATATATATTCAACTAAGAACATCCTTTTTCAAATAATCTTGTATACGACAAGTTATTATAAAAATGTTAAATATCACATTAGGTTTACAAAAAAAAAAAAATGGCATGATCACTTTTTTCGGCTTGATATAGAAAAATCGTCACAGTAAAAATAACAATAATATTTTCCTCCGATGACAGTTCTTTGACAGTACTTGAAAACATACCGAAAATAATTCGACAGCAATCATTAAAAGTAACCGGACATTAACCCTAATGCGATGACTGTTAGAGTATGAACAAGAGTTACAATAGTTAGAATAGTTTATCTATTATATGAGGCATAAAACTCTCCGCTATAAAGCTATAAACACATTTATGACAGTTTGTGAGTTTGGCATTCACGAGCTCGTTTTATGTAAAATTAAAAAATATTCATCATTATATATTTTACTGAAATAAAAATAATTTTGTTGTGAGAAAATAATGAAGTTTTCAAAGCAATTTTCTGCCTAATACGGAGCACTTAGGAATGTGAGGTATTCTTCCCACGGTAAAATAACAGTACATAACATACGTGTACACCGAGCGTCACAAACGTGTGTATTTAGTGAGTTGTGCTATATATAATACCCTGCTACAAGCCTGCTATACTTCCTACAGTACTTTAGTAAATGCCATATTGCGGTGTACTTTTTAAATGATATATATATAATAATCACATATCATGTACATCTGGTTAGTGTGATCTCGGCCCTACTAGCACCATGTTAGGTACTGTTTCCAAGTGACGTGTTACTAAAAAACAGTGGCTTACCAAATCATTCACACCTTATTTTAAAAGATGACCGGTGAGAAAGTTTGGATTCCGCACGAAAGTGAGTCGAACACTGTAACAATGTAACTGTGTAATTCCTGCCTTAAAACCAGAGATGGTTCCAGTTAGTCGGGGGGGGGGGGGGGGGGGGGGGGGGGGGGGGGGGGGTGGGGGGGGGGGGGGATCAGGTACTAAGTTCTGTACGTGACGTCGACTAAGTGTAATTTTGGAATTTTGTCAAAAGACCCACCCACCCCCTTCGCGACTTTTGCCGGCTTTTGAGCTTTTGTGGTACTAACTGTTGAGAAATCACGGTACTAACTGTGTCTTGGTATATAAAATAAGATACCCACCAATAAATTGCTTTAAACAAAACCCAAAAAACCCATTCCCAAAATTGAAATTTGAGGTAAAATGGGTTTATTTGGGGTTGGAAACCCCCTTTGAACCATGTACTAACTGTTTTTCTGGGAAATTTACCATGTAGTAACTGTGTTTTTGGAAGAAAATATGACCCACCCCCCCCCCCCCCCAACGTCACGTACGGTACTAAGTGTATGATCCCCCCCCCCCCCCCCCCCCCCCCCCCCCCCCCCCCCCCCCCCCCCCGAGTTAGTGACTAGTATGTTTTCATTAACATTACTTTAACATTACTGCTTAGTGTCTGACGCACTAAGCAGTCGTGAACAGCTCCTGGAAACCACATTGAATGATCTTTAAATCCAAGTAAATGAGTTAACATTGTTTGCTCTTCAAAACTCAAAAGTCATCCTTTCGTTACATTGACAAATTATTACCACTAGAAGTATAAATTCATTTATTCACATCGAAGTTGCTTCAATTTGTTAACTTTGCCATTTT